GCCATAAGTCACTTGTTCAACCAAAGCCTAGAAATGTTTTAATGACAGTTATTTTTATGATCAATTATTCTTTTGGTTTATAACTAAATCATGCTGTTGGCTTATAACTTTGTACACTGGATAAACACTTCATTCCTCTATTGTAAAACTGCAGAACATCCGCATCAAAGCATAATAAGTCTTTGTAAAATTGCTGTTTGGAAATAACAACTAAAATAAACAGACTGTCCACAATTAAGACAAAAATAAAGTTGATTGAAAAAGTTTCGAAAACGAAGACGAAAATAACTCGGTGACGTGCTCATGCTGATTTTTTTAGAAATCCTACTTCTCATTAATAATTTTGATCATTGTTTCGATGGAAAGAATGGTATGTCCCCATTTTAGGAACTGTTTTTATGTATATTCAAGTAATAGACAAAAAAGTATTGGAATAATTTATTTAAATAAAAGTTTTTAAAGTAAAAAATAAAGTAAAGTAAAGATGCATAAGTGTAAAACCAAAATAAATAGTTTTAACATTAAAGTGAAATTAATTTGAAAAACCCTTAATTTTCATGAGCGTTAAAAACTAAATAGGCACTGAATATTTTCTATTCATATTTGGCTTAAACGTAGGATCTCAAAATGAATTTAAAATATTTAAATTTTACTGATTAATGATTAGCAGTTGATTAAAATTTCACTAAGGGAAGATGATGAATGGTAATATTTTCTCCTCCCGAATAAAGCAATCTTTGGCCTCTTGAGTGTAATAAATATATGATGCATTTCCAAACTATGCCAACTTGCCAATGGAAAGTAACTGGCAATTGCATCTTATGACGTATTATCCGGTTAATAATCTAGCTTGTTTTGCCGGCGCAATAGTAAATAATAATATTAACATGATTTAATTTGGAATTCCGTTTTGGAAACGTAGAAATGACGAAGCATCAGGTCTAATGTCTGCAGTCCGTAATCTTTCAATAAAAATAATTTTGAGCTGCGTAATTGGCTGATATGAATGTGTAGCTTGAACTTTTTATTAAATCGTCATTAATATTGAACTGCGCTGCCAACTGGAAGTGCGATTCAACTAACACAAATTACTTACATTTGTTTTTTTTGCCAACGAAAGCCGTTGAATGTGAAAAAGTTACGGTAGCCACACTGTTTTAAACGATTTGTTGAAAACATAGCAATGCTCTGTGTCATATCATGTACGATTTTGAATATAATAATATTCAACTCGCTATCGAAACAGTTTTAAAACATAGAAAATATGTATTTTGGAAAACATCATATACTTTTTAATAAAAACTGAATATTTACTATTACGATTAGTTTTATCATAATAAAAAAAATGTTTTAATATTTTATATTTTGTTTACCAATGAAATTTGTATTATTGACGCATTTCTTATTATTCGTTTTAAAAATATTCCGCTAAAATACTTAGTTGCAACTTTCAATTGTATTAATGTATGAATAATTCAATTTTATACAGCATTTCCTCCATTCTACAACGGACTAAACTGCGAGAATATGTTTTTCTATTTTCTTAAATATCCCATATACTCACAAAAGTATGCAGTAAAATCTAGTTGAACTTTTGCAGTAAATGGCGATTTAAAAAACTAAAGCTAACTGGTGGGCACCATTCGGGAACCAAACTTCTTCCCCTTTTCCGGAAAATCTCACCAGTTACAAGCAATGGCCGCGAAAGCCGAACTCTTTTGAGAAGTGAAATTTGTGAATCTTGAATTATGTATTCAGTCAAAGACACTTACTTTGGCTACTGATGTTTTAAAGGATGTTACTGTCCAGAGTTTACTAGATATTCTTATCCAAGCGTACAGAGTCGGGGCTGTAAATAGGCCTCCATAAAGACTGAATCTGAGAACCTGCATCCAATCATAATTTTCGATCGTTTTTCCTGCCATAGTTTGTTGAATTAGACATGAAGTAGGCCATAATGTACCTGACAGAGAAAATTACGAAAAACTTGCAATTAAAATTTTTCATTTCATGATTTGAAATCAAACAATTTGCATTATGTGATGATATGGATGATTGCTTAAAAAAATAATTTTAAATATTTTTATGGCCACAATGCACTTAGAAACTACTGATACGAATGAATGAAATTATGAAAGGAATACATTTTCCACTCGGGAAATTATTGTGTTTGGAGTCTATTATTTTCCTTTGAATTCTGCTTTGGATTTATTAGATATTAATGATAAATCCCAGAACATATTTCACTTTGTTTATTAGATATAACGACTTCGTTTGAAAATCGTTAACTTTTAAAGTAATATTTATTTTTGCAATTACTTAATATTGATAGGAAAACGCCACAAAGTATTTCTATTTTTTCCATGATTTTGTGTCTAGAAACACTTGCAATTAGCAGCAAAAGATTATAATAAATAACTACAATGATTGTACAAAATGACAATACAAAACAACAATTGATTCTCGAAACATGAACAAATGGAATCAGCCTTTCATATATTTTTTCAAAGTAAATATTTTGTTACAGTTTAAAGTTTATTAATTTTTCAAGCAACGTATCACCCAATGTTGTGAGGTACATTGTAAAATATCAAAGTCCACTATTACAATGGAATTTTCAGCATTACTATCTCCGTATGTTTGTTCCATTTTAATGGAAACTATTTAACGTTCTATACTTAAAATTAAATGACTTTTGAATAGCGAAGTCAATGTAAATTGAGTAGCCATTTGTGATATTTTCACTACTCCATGAAACAAAATGCATTTTTCAATTGCATGAAAAATGGGAAAGGTTCAATCCATTGGAACATTGAAATCAACTCCCTTTCAGTGAATGTGTGGATGTAAAGGGGACGCTTACACATCTAACTTTCTTTGGAACTGGGTTTAAGATTTCATTCATACATTGAATTGCAGTTAATATCGAGTTTTATTAACTTTGGGGGTTAATGTATGTTTATAAGGAGCGAAGTATTAATAGTGAACATTACGACTTCTAGGCACCCTGTGCCCTTAGCTGGAAGGCTTTATTTTTAAATTAGTAGCCCTTTAGCTAAATAATCTTCTTAGAAACATTAAATGTTTGGTATGTTACATATAGTACAACATTACTTACCATACGCAATCATACCCCTAACCACTGGGTGTCTGGTAGTAAAAGCTGCGAATCTTGAAAATATAACAACCATTTTTGCTGTTTGATTTTCCACACACCACCACTTTATTCTTATTGCTCTTATCTATTACTTTAAGCTAAACAGCCCCGATAACTTTCAGCCCTCTGACACTGGATGTAACTCTTCCCCAGAACCCAACAGCACTGATTTGTACTGAATAACTGTCGTCTGTAAGTCTGCACAAATATAACAGCCAAAATCTATTACGACATCCAGATATATTTGCCAATTTCCACTCAATAACTGAATGTAACATTGCGAACTATTTTACGTTCTCTTTGACGTCAAACCAGCTGATTTTGACAACCACGTGGGTTTCACTCAATGACGTCACAGTTGGGTCTTTAGTTCATTAGGTAGAGATTCCGAGCACTCGGAAACAGTTTAATTATGCGCTTCTATTATTATTTACTTTAGTAGCATTGATTTTGGTGCATAAGCGAGTGTTCTGGCTTTTACTTTAAATTACGGCATTACAATATAATAAACAAAAGTATAAATTTGTAGATGAATTACAAAGTCGGTGGGAAAACACCAAAGGTTTTAAAGTCTGGAACTTAGCACTGTGTTTCAGCCAAAAAATTAGCATTACCGCAAATTATTTATTGTTAAATGATGTCGCTTGCACTAAGCAATCATGTTTATGCTTGAAAACATTTTTGCCCAATATAAATTACGTTTTTGCAAACGCAGTTTTACGATTGCGATTGAGTCCTGTTTCCAGATTTTATTAATTGTTACACCTGTTTTTTTTAATTTTAGTGTCAATGCATTTGTTAGTTAATGTGTCCTGCTGTTTTGTGTCATATTTTGTGAATTTTTTGGGCACTTTCTATCTCGAAGAAGCGTGCTGAAAATGCGCCCACTTTGTATATATTGGAACGCTTTTTTGGTGTAATATTTTATGCAAAAGAACCATTATTTTATACCAGGGCTAGACCAGAAACAAGTACTTGTATCTGGCTAGATGATTGATTTTTCGAGTTTACATTTATTTTCTAATCACTTTTCCTAGTGGTATTTTTGGGGAAATGTATTTATCCCAATTTTTGGCTAATTGAAGCTCACTACTTTTCCAGACGAAATTAGAGAACGGCATGAGGTCTTTATCACAAAGACGTCATGGCGACCCAGTTCGAAAATCTTTGTGCATTTGCCACGTCTATAATTTATTTGTACTTTTTCGTGAGACACGTTTTGTAGTTATTTTGAGTTAGTTTCGGTTAACTGCCTGTTTTTTTTTTAAGCAATTTGTTTACAGTTTTTATGTTTCGTTTTTTATTTCGGCATGAAGAGTTTACTAACTTCATTGGGCGAAAAGTGGTCGAAAATTGTTCTTAACTTGGGCCCTAAACTAGGACATTATACCAATTTTTGTCCTCTAGTAATCTTTGGTAAAACAGTGTTTTACGTATTATTTGTACTATTTTATTTGTTGTATGAATTATTATTTTAATGTTTTTAATTCGTTCATTTTTATTGGGTTGTTTTGCTTTTTCTTCTCATCAAAATACTAAAATACTTTACGGAAACATTTAAAAACTAACCGACCGTGTCCCCAAATAATAAAACCTTTTCTTTGTAATACTAAAACCTGATTGACTACGCGAAAGTTTATAATTTTTATTAGTTGATAAACTTAGGAAAAAACATTTAAAATGGCATTTGCCTTTTAAGAAGTGCCTTTGCGTCCAACGTTCACATATCGCTTTAAGAACACTGAACATAATTGCAAATACAATTTTTAAAAGTGCTTATAAGTGTTTTTGCTTAGTTTATTAAATAGTTGAATTTTTCGAATTAAACTCTAAACTACACCGTTTAAATAAGGTAAAAATAGTACTACGTTTTTTTAAGGCAACAGCATGCTCTCTAGGAATGTTTTTTTGAAGTAAAGTAAGTTTACAAGAAAACATTCAATTTTGTTCCATTTATCCAACACCCTGTATATTAAAACCTGGATTAGCTGGCTGCATTTTGATAAAGACTTTAATGCTCTTTTCCCAGGTCCTAATGGAACGATTCGATTTCCATCTCCTTTTAATACAGGATGTTCAAAAGACGAACTGATAATCCAATCAGAAATCTCTGATCAAAAGACAAATGTTTTGTTTATCCTACAACAGACATCCTACTGTTTTCTCTTATCAATGTGACAGTTTGACTGCCGGCTACACAATTTTACAATTTGTGTTTTAAATCTGTTTTAAATGATTAAGTCGTGTTCTGAAGAGTGATTTAATTACAGCATACATCCAATTTTTACGAATGCCTTAAATCGCACCCAATCTAATAACCTTAGTTCGTTGTAAGGTGATACTAAAGCCCACGTCAGTACATCTGCTGGAAAAAGGTCATTAAACTTTTATTTTCGAACATTACAGCTTCCGAAATCAGTGAAATTGAGTGCCAAAAGTGTGAACATTTATAAATGTAGTTGATGTAGTTTACAAGAGGAATTACTACAAACATGTAAGTAGAAATCCCATTCTACTAGGTTCTCATTCATGTAGATTAGTGGATGCCAAGAGGTCCCTCGGATCATTCAGGGGGCCCTTGGAAAATTAAAATCGATTTTGGGGTCCCTTAATAACGCTAGGGGGACCGGGCAAGATTTAATATAAAATTATAGAATAGAACCCTTTTTTTAAAGTAGTCAAACTCAGAGTACAAATGCAGATACATTCCGATACAGAATACATACTAATATAGGAGCAACTTATTGAATTATCCGCAAATGAGAAGAAACCCATGTTTAAACAAGGATACGACAATTTCTGGTTTCAAAAACAGATTGATTTTCAATCAGTGTCGTTATGTCCCTCGTCAGAAAAGAAGAAACTGACTAGAATTTAGTACTCATGGGGATTTGCGATTGCCACTCACAAAGATTGAGCAGGACACAAATACCCTCATAACATCCCAGCAGGTTCATCCAATTATTTTGTATTTTAAAACAAAAATTATAATTTCACTAAAACGGTACTTTTTCAACATGTTTTAATTATATTTTATTTTTACGTCACCATTTACCACCATTCAAGACATTAAACTTTGAAGTTTTCTAGTTTTTTGCTCTGGGTCCGTATAAGAACCCTGGTAACTTTCTTTTAGCCTTAAAAAAAAATGTTTTTTTCAAATATTTGATTCGGCTATTAGTCAAGCATCGCTCTAAATCAAGACAGTGTTTCGTAAAAATTGGCATCCGAGTTTTTCTTTAAAAAAATGAGAATTGAGTGCGGAATATTTGATAAAAACGGGACTTAATAAGAATGAACTTTCAATAATTCAATTCTCTGGTCAATTGGTCAATAATTTTATCAACAGCGACAAACACAATCTTGGCTTGAAAATTTGCTTTTCTTTGACATGGATGGTTTATTGCGCGTCCTGAGCTTCCTACAAGAAATGTTTTCTTATCCGGGCTTTAGTTTCAAGACAAAATACCTCCATTTCTAATTCATGCGCCTATTCTTGTTGTGTCGATATTTAGCTACTAAACAACATGAAATGAGTATTTAGAACAAAAATTGAGCCAAACCACTCGTGTTTGTAAAGCACCAGGAAGAACTTCTATTCCACGTTCAAAAACTCACCAGTTTCATCACGGGCATGTTTAAATGAATTCTAGGAATGTGATACTATACGTAGTTCTATTCTGCCTGTACTCATTAACCAATTGTGATGAAAAAGTTGACTACTACAAGCTACTGAACGTACCGAGAGATGCCACAGTTCAGGAAGTTCGTAAAGCGTTCAAAATTCTGGCAGTTAAATTGCATCCAGATAAAAATAAGGTTTGCTTTTGCAGCCAGTGATTAATAGGAATACTTTGGCATTATTGAACATTTTTAGGACGATTCAGATGCTGAACAGAAATTCATACAGCTTGCCAAGGCCTATGAAATCCTTAAAGATCCAACGTCCAGAAAAGAGTACGATTTGCACGGAGATTCGGAGTTTAACAACAACAAACGTAGCTATCATAGTTATTCATATTATAAGGATCATTTTGGCATCTATGACGATGATCCGATCATAGTAACATTGAGCAAACAGGATTATGGTAAGCTGAACTTATTCTGCCAATGGACAATGAATGAACATTAATTGATATTTATAGAATTGAACATATTGGATGTGAATCAAGCATGGTTTGTCAATTTCTACTCCCCGCATTGCCATCACTGCCATGAAATGGCTCCAATTTGGAGAAAACTGGCTTCTCAGCTTGAAGGAGTAGTCAGAATAGCTGCGGTCAATTGCGAAGAAGATTACCCACTTTGCTACCAGCTCAGCATCGAAGCGTATCCCACTCTGCTGTTTTATGAAAAAGAGGTATGTCATCACCGATAATTCTTATTTTAAGTAAATTACAGATGAAATTTCAGGCTCACATTTATGATGGGGAAAAATTCAGAGGCTCTAAAACTTTGGAGGCTTTGGAAGAGTATATACTTTCAAAAGTTCATGTTAATATAGAAGATATTGACCAGAACAACTGGCCTTTGTTGAAACAGAAACAGTGGGTTCTGTTTTTGTGCAGCAATGATAACTATAACTGCCCGGAAAAGGATACTATTACGAAAATTTCTGCGACATTGGTATGTTTACCTTGATCAGTTTGGAAGCGAATATTAGAAAAATTCGTTTCAGGAAGGCCTATTGAGTGTTGGCATTGTTAAAGACAGCGAACTTTGCGAGAAAATTTCAGAATCGTTTAAAAAGCAGCCCATAATATTTTGGCAAATAGACGCAACCAATATCCCTGAAGTGCATATAGTGGAAGGATCAGACTCCAAGGAAATCTTGGACAAAATTTTAAATATTTTACCGACTCCGCCACTGCTGGACGAGAAGAAATTTCACGTAAATACGTTTAAATTGATGGAATTTTTTGACTCAATTATTGGCATTTTTTGTAGGATTTGCGAACGAAATTGCGAATGTCCTTTGACAAACCTTGGCTAATCTGTTTCTACTTAGGAGAGGCGACGGATTTGAAATTGGAACTAAAGCGACTACCCACTTTAATCTCGAATATTAATATCGGTCAGCTTAAATGGAAGTAGTATGTTCTCAATGTGCTAAATCTGGATATATTTCAGGATTAATTCACTGTGGAAAAAGCGCCGGACTTTGCGCGACTCTCCATATAGCCCGTTACCCAACTTGGTGTGTAATAAAACAGGGCGGTGCCTTTGAAGTTCATCAAGGTAGGGACGTGTTGCATGAAGTGGCAAGTTTTGCTCGGGATAGCACCAAGAGTACCAACTTACATGCTCTGAGCCCTGCGGATTTTCACAACTTAATGGAAGTAGGTGAGTTGAATTAAAAGTTCCAAGAAATTGATTGTTTCATTACAAGATTTATATGCTTTATAAGGCACTCCATGGTATATCGATTGGTACGCCCCTTGGTGCCCACCTTGCAAAAGACTCACCCCTGAACTTCGCAAAGCCAGCCAACATTTTGAGCCAGATGTGGTTCAATTTGGTACTGTGGACTGTACTTTACACAGAGAACTTTGTTTCAGCCAATCGATCAGTTCCTATCCCACAATGGTCTTATACAATAGAAGTAGCGTTCAAAGATTTCAGGTAACAGTAGATACTTAGATTATGCCTTAAAAATCTGACATCATACGGATTTTGTGCTAGGGTGTTCCAAATGAAGGATCAATTGTGGAATTCATCCAAGACGCAATCAATCCCTTAGTGAAGCAATTGGATGAAAACAACTTTAGCTTGTTGGCTAGAAAGTCTGCACAGGAAATGTGGGTAGTTGACTTTTTTGCCCCTTGGTGCGGACCGTGCCAGCAATTGGCTCCAGAGTATAGGAAATTAGCTAAATCCGTAAGATACTCACACTATCCACAGGACTTGTGGACGTAGGTCTTAAAATAGTTTATACCTTAATTTTTCAGGTTGCGGAACTGAAGAACATTGTTATTGCTCAAGTAGATTGTGTTGCAAACGAGGAACTGTGTTCTTCCCAAAATATTCGAGGATACCCGACAATACGGCTGTATCCCTTAGGATCGAAAGGCTTGAGCACTGTGGCGTAAGTTACTTGTTAATTCTCTAACAATGATGCACCGTCTGAAACGGTTTTTCTATCTTCCAGCATACATAATGGTCACAGAGATGCAGTTTCGCTTAAAAGATGGATAATTGGATTCTTGCCCTCCAAAGTAGATTCTTTAACTGAAACGGAGTTTAAAGAGCAAATTTTAACGGAAAACTTCTACTTGCCTTGGCTGGTGGATTTTTACGCCCCGTGGTGTTCTCATTGTGTTCATTTTGAACCTGAATTTAGGACTGTAGCTCAAGTAAGCATCCACCAAGTCAATCGCTGGGACTTCAAAAACAGGCTATTTACGTGCATCCGAAATATTTTGTTTGCGCATTGCAGATATAAACCGTATTTCTGATATTTTTATTATTTAACTTTCAGAGGCTCGATGGAAAAGTGCGTTCAGCCAAAATCGACTGCGAAGCTCACCGAATATTCTGTGGCTATCAAGGAGTCTCTGGGTACCCGGCGGTGAGACTGTACATGTCCCCGCAAAAACATTTTGAAATAGATAGTCAAAATGCGAATGAAATAATACAAAAAGTAAAGTACTTATTAGAGAAACACAAAAGGAGTTACTCGCACGACGAGTTGTAATTTTCAAGATGCAGAATCTCATGTAAGCATCAACACGATCTGCCTTTTTTATTGCATTTCAGTATAACTAACCGGAAGATTTATCATGTTTTAATGGTAGGTATCTTACAGGCATTTGATTTGTCGAATGTGGGGCTTATAGCGTTTTTTTCTAGTCAGGAGTAGACAAGTACCATATAATTTAAATCTTTAGAATTTCTTTGCAGTGACGAAAGTTTTTTTTCTATAATTCCATCTAACCAATTTCTTATACATGATTCATGGTATATAGGGAATAAAGTTGGCTACTTCTGTAATCGCCCGTGATCTTAGAATTCACACTTTTCATATGATTTATTTTTTGATCCGTAATTTTGGTGCCTAATATGTAGGTATAAGCACATGATATACCATCTGAAAGGCATTTTGCTTGTTCAATAATAATAGAGTGTTCTAATAAAAAAAAACGCACTTCCTTTGTATATCTAGATCAAATCTCGAATGTTAAGCGAACCTGTATGATGCAGAAGATAATTTTATTTTTCTTGATATGTGGCGCTCAAAATTTAAAGTTTTTACAAATTCAAATACTGCAGTAGTCAAGTTTAGATTGGAGGTATAGTACAGGGTGTCCTGTAAGGTCCTGATCAAAAGGGTACTGCGATATTCTTTGGACCAAAAGAAGACGATCTGACATAACTTTTATTAACAATAAATGTCTGGCACCTCTGCTATTGATGCTCAAAGTTCTTGAAAAAAATTTTCTTTTTGGAAATATCGGAAGAATAAGTGATGAATTATTGAGTGTCGTGGTACAAAAACTACCAGAATTTTTTTGTTGGAGGATGAAATCAACTAATTTTTTTTTTAAGTTGATGCACTAATCATTTGTTCACAATTTTGTGCTCTTTGTAAAGTCTTGTAGCAGTCACAGTTTTTGCGTAAAAAAATATGTCTGTTTTCTAGTCACTTAGCAATGCTAGACATTTACTGCAAATATGCGCCACGTAAACGCGTACGCTATCACTTTTCATTTTTTCATTCGAAAAGGTCATTAAAAACAAATTTGTGAGATTGATTGACAATAATTTTATGCCTCGTATCACGATATTTGCATTTAACATTCTTAAGTATCAAGGAAACAGAAATATTTTTTTTCGCAAAAACTATAAATGCTGCAAGATTTTACAAAGAGCACAAAATTGTGAATAAATGATTAGTGCATCCACTTAAAAAAAATGAGTCGATTCCATCCGACAAATAAAAAGTTCTGGTAGTTTTTGTACCACGACACTCAAGAATTCACCACTTGTCCAAAACGGCTAAAATCGATTGTTTCATCAAAATATGAGTCTTACATAAGAACAAATTCACAGCGAGTTTCACTAAAATACATCGTACCATTCTCCCGATATTTCAAAAAAGATAAATTTTTTGAAGAACTTTGATCATCAATAGCAGAGAAGCCAGACATTTTTTGTTAATAAAAGTTAGGTCTGATCGTCTTCTTTTGGTCTAAAGAATATCGCAGTACCCTTTTGATCATGAGCTTACGGGACACCCTGTATATTAAGCAAAAAAAATTAAATAATGGTTAAATCGGAAACCGTTGAAGATGCGTATAGAGGAAAGTATTCGACGAAAAGAAAGAAAAGGAGCGAAAATCCTAATACTTTCAAACATACATTTGAAATATCACTGATAATGCATTTTTTCCATATAACCAAGAACGTATTCAGCAAAATATTTTAAATCGTTAACGTTCGAACGAGTACAGAAGTAGCCAAATTTCCAAAATCATTCAATCCTCTCCTTTCCACATTCAAACCTCAAAGGTATTGTTAACGTGTTCGTGTCGTCGAATGGTTGATAAGCCGCGAATTTTTTTTATGGAAATATTTAAATTGATTTGAAATAGCAGATGAAACGAAAATATGTAAGTATTAGGACATGCGAAGTGAAATTGTTAAATATGTACATAATACCAAGTAATGCTTGCAATCTATACTAAATTATTTGTACTGTAATAGCAAACTTGAATTTCAGTTCAAGAAGTTTAGTACCTACTTTATAAATAGGATTAAGCAAACATAAAAACTGACCCTTGACTGGTGACCATTTTAAATTTTTGGAGTAAGGGTGGTTTCAATGGAATAAGTGTTGCTGATTAGTTCGCTCAACAAAAATCGAAATTTAAAATATTTTCCAAAAAAAAATCTGTGTAATTAATAGAAGGTAATCTTCTGTGCTGAATGTTGAGTCCTTCACTGAATTATGTGTGTACTTATTTGCTCATTGATTCGAAAATTAATTGCGAAATTAATTACGTTTCCCCATTTCCGTGAGCTCCATTTTATTGTTAAGAAAGTAACGAATCTCGCTAGTTAGTTGAATCGTTTAACACGTAGCTTTTTGAATACGTACTCATCTCTATAGCTTTTAAGAGTTTTTTTAATTTGTTACAAACCGGGTGGGTTTATTTAACTTACGAAAGCTTTAAATTTAAAAAAAGGCATATTGCGGGGAATTTTTACATTTTGGATTCTCAAATGAGAAAGTATAATTTTTTTCTCTAAATTTAGTCTGTGAGAAACTCGTCGCTTTACAAGAACTTATCTAGAAAATAGTTGCATGAATTTTTTAATTTGGTTAACAGAAAAGCTATTTTACGAAATAAGGATTGTTTTGTGAGTTGAGATGATAATTTGATATTGTTGTAATTTAATTTTTTTTATAAAACGTGGTGCCTATTTTCTGAAGTACATCGAATAATTTGTTATTTAGATATTTCTTAATGTATATACTTTCCTGACTGTGTTTCAATTCCAAATCAAATTCATTCCTGGGTTTCAGTCATTTATTGTCTCTATTTATCAATCAAGATACGTTTCGGTGTATTTTTCCACCATCATCAGTTTTTCTAAAATAACAGATAGTTAAAAAAAA